GGGCTGGGGCGGCTGGGCGGGGGCCGGGTTCTTCACCAGCAGCAGGTTGTCACCTGGGGAGGAAGAGACAGAGAAATGACACCCTGATAGTGCTCTGACCAGGACCCCACACTGTCCCTGCGAGGGGCCCAGGTGCTTAACTAATTTGCCTGTGGCTTCACGGGAGTCATAGGCCATCTGGGCCTCGGTTTCTCTAGGAAAATGAGGGGATTGAACAAGGCAAATGGTCACTTTCCATATGGCTCTCGGGCTCCCTGACCCTCTGACCTGCCCCAAGCCACCTGCTGGAGAGCAGGTAGCTTGCAGGTAGGACAGGAAATGCATCCAGAATGCTGGGGGCTGGGTGGGGTGCTATGTGGAAGTCACCTTCTAAGGCAGAATTGCCTGGAAATAAGACAGACCTAATTGTGTTCTGATGTTCAAGGCTAATTTACCTGAGGAGAACCTCTCAACTGGAGGGAATTTGCCAAAACTTATTCAAGTTGAAAAGCTTGACTAGAGGCCAACAGGAATGGGCTGCGGGGAGCTGGGACCATACCCACCCTCACAGGTGAGTCATCTTTCTACCAGGCAAGCTGCCTCCGACTTGTACAGCAGCCTGGTCAGCTGGGTTGGTGTGAGTCCCATCCTGAGGCCTGACCCCACCTGGACCCTGACCACGTGTGCCTGGGGCCCCGTACCCCAGTGTGGAAGTGGCTGCCCAGCCCGCCTCCCCAGGAAGCCTGTTCTTGATCCTGCAATGATGCCTTTTTCGTTGCACCCCATGTCTCAAGGACAAGTTCCCAGTTTTCCTGTACCGTGAGGCACAAAGTCCAGGCTGAGCATCAGAGCAGTGACCTTTGGCCCAGGATTCCGCCTAAGGAACTACTCCCTCTGCAAACTGGAGTCTTTTCATCTCTCTACCCTCCATCACCTCCCCAACCCCCAGCTGGCAATCCTTTCCCCTGGAGGTCCCCCTCCCCCACTCAGGGGCAGTCCATGGAAGAAGAATAAAGGTGAAGCTTGCACCCTGTCCCCCACCTCTTGTGGGCATCCCTTTCTCTCCCAGGACCCATCTGCTCCCCGGAGGCGACTTTTCAGGCCACATCTGCCACACTCCCACCCCCATGCTCGTCAGCATCTGACTGAAGCCTGTTCTCCTTCTATGTCACCCCTAAACAGACTGGGCCCAGCCTGTCCTCTCTGTGCCAATCACAACTGACCAGCAAACAACAAAGAGCCCTCTCCATAGGACAGTGGCCAGGGCAGAGGTAATGCTCAGGCCTCAGCCAGCACGTCCAGGACAATGCCTGCGATCCTGGCTGTGGCCTCGCTGCTCCTTCTACCCCAACCTGCTCCCCCCATTCTTTCCCGGGCGTTTCCCAGAGGACCCCGAGGAAACCACTTACACTAAACCTCCATCTCAGGGACTGTTTCCCTAGAAACCCAACCCAAAACAGCCCTAATGCTACTCTGACGATTCCACAAACACGGTGTGAGCACCGGGCTGCTTTTGTCTCCTTTGTTCTCCCTTCGCGACCCAGCTTAGCTCTGTGGTCAGCGCTGCGGTCACTGACGGTGAAACCCCCTCACCCTCTGTCCTCTGTTCTGCCTGCAACCGGAACCCACTGCTGCGTCCGGCCTCAAGCAGCTGAAGAGGCTGGAGAAGTCACTCCTGTGTCAGAAGGGCCTCCACTCTGAATTAAGTTTGTCTCACAGAGAGTGGGATGTGCTGACCTGGGTTTGAAATGGCCCTTCAGGTCAGGAATGACTTGTGTCCTCGGCTCTTACATGGATTTTAAGCTCTTAGAGGATGTCAGGAATATGGATTCCACATTCCAATCAACCAGAAGAGGGTGACGGTACTGGGTCTGGCAAGGAACGCTACCCTGATGCTAAGAGTGTTAAATCCCCATGAACATATGCCTAAGGTCACTGGTTAATAAGTGGAGCTTCAAAAAATGCCCAGGAGACCCAAACTGAGTGAGACGTTTGGTCAGAAACCTGTTGGTGGTGATGGTGGTGGGAGGAATCCCCTCTCTCTACTCGAGCTTCAGGATCTTCACCAGTGACACGGGGGTGCCAGCTCAGGGCTGGCTCCGGCCAGTGCTGTCTAGACGTGAGCCATCAACTCCTGTCAGCTCTGTCCCAGCCCACTCTCCTTTTCCTACTGTTATGGGCTAAATTATACCTCCCTCCCCTCTCCCACACCAAAAACTATAAAAATCTGAACGCCCAGGACCTCAGAATTCAACCTTATTTGGACATAGGGTCCTTGCAAATGGAATTAGTTAAGATGAGGTCCCACTGGAGAAGGGTGCCCCTGATCCAGTATGACTGTGTCCTTATGAGCCTGGTGAACACACAGACACCACATGAAGACAGAGGACTAGGGTGACACACTCACAAGCCCAGCAACACCAAAAGTTGCCAAAACACAAGAGGCTGGGAAAGGCAAGGAAGGATTCCCTAAGCTTTCAGAGAGGGTGTGGCCCTGCCCACCACTTGACTTCAGACTCCTGGCCTCCTGAACTGTGAGACAACACATTTCTGTTTTTTAAAGCCACCCCGTGTGTGGGCCTTGAAGACAGCCCTAGGAAATGAACATGCCTCCCAGCCTGCAAAAGGAAAGGGGACTGCCTCTGGTACAGACTGATGAAAGGCTGCCTGCCCCAACAGAGCATCGCCTTATCAGGGGGTAGGCTGAGGGAGCAGCCATCCCTCTGGACAAACACCCAGGAGCCCCAGGGGCGCCGCACGCTGCACTTACTGGGGCCAGAGTCTAATCCCAGCTCTCCTTCCATTGAGTCGCGAGGGCCCCACGGGTACGGCTGCTCCTCCTGCTTGATCCATGACAAAATGTCATGTGCTGAGATCAGAGACTCTGTTCGTGGAAAGAAGGCAGTCTTAGCATCTGTTCATTTCTGCTGAGCATCCCATCAAAGGCTCAAAAACCATCACATGCAAAGGCTGCAGCTCCAGCTCTCAGGGCAAGTGGCGGTTTTGGTATCAGTTTCATTTACTGGCAGTCCTCCCCGCTCATGCCTTCGTAAACGGGATATCACTGTGCTCACTACATTTCCCGGTGGTCAGGGAGGAGGAGGCTTGTCCCAAAGTGTGTGTGGCGGCAGAGCCAGGATTAGAACCCAGGTCTCCTGACTATGTCCACTGAGCCCCAGAACAGCCTGTAGGTCCAGGACAAGCCAGAGGGCAGCCTGGTCTCTGAAGGCCCACAGGACCGAGGGATGAGAGGTGGAACTTAAAGATCAGCGATGGTGGAAGCCGTGAGCAAAGGTCGTCATAAGACCTGCACTCTATCAGGAAGGCTTGGCTTTCCCTTCTGCCCTGGAGCCTCTCAACCTCCCCATTGTAAAGCTGTAGATTTGGTCTTCTCTTCCTGGTATGCAGGGGTAGGGTCAAACTTTGGGGTCATAATTACCAAATGAGATGACACTGGAGTTCTCCAGGTCTGCAAGCACATGTCAACACACACACACACACACACACACACACACACACACAGGCCCAAGGCAGGTAGGGCGTCCCAATTATTATTTTATGTTTTCATTTATGCCTAGACCCTCCCCAGAAGTTTTCCTGGGAGACATCTAACTATATTCACTCAAGAAAAATTCCAGAAAGTGTAAATATACATTTACAGACATATACACAACTTTTAAAAGCCTTTTTGGTTATATTTATTGTTTAAAAACCGGTGCTGAAGTAATTTTAGTATTAGTTACATTAACACAGTAAATTGTCAATTAATGACTCCTCTAGAAAAACCCTTTCCACTTTCTAAACTCTGTACAAAGTTGCAGCCCAGGTGGAGTGGCTCAGTGGTTGAGCAACCTATGAACCAGGAGGTCACAGCTCGATTCCTGGGTCAGAGCACATGCCTGAGTTGCAGCTCAATCCCCAGTAGGGAGCATGCAGGAGGCAGCTGATCAATGATTCTGTCTTTTTTTTTTTTTTTTTTTAATATATTTAATTGATTTTTTTACAGAGAGGAAGGGAGAGGGACAGTTAGAAACATTGATGAGAGAGAAACATCGACCAGCTGCCTCCTGCACACCCCCCACTGGGGATGTGCCCGCAACCAAGGTACATGCCCCTGACCGGAATCGAACCCAGGACCCTTGAGTCCGCAGGCCGCCGCCCTATCCACTGAGCCAAACCGGTCAGGGCCGATGATTCTGTCTTATCATTGATGTTTTTATCTCACTCTCCCTCTGTAAAATGCTATATAATAAAAGCCTAATATGCTAAATGACCAGTCATCTGGTCGTCTGTTCAACTAATCAAAGCATAATATGCTAATGACATGCTAAGGCTACTCAACCGCTCGCTATGACATGCACTGACCACCAGGGGGCAGACAGTCGACCGGTCAACCAGTGGCTATGATGTGCATTGACCACCAGGGGTAGACTTCTGACTGGTAGGTTAGCTTGCTGCTGGGGTACAGCAGATTGGGACTGAGCGAGATGGGTAGGACATGCCCTGGAGCCCTCTCGCAGTCCCTCCCTGGCTGGCCAACCTCCCGTGTCCCTCCCAGGCCTTGATCGTGCACCGGTGGGGTCCTTTGGCTTGGCCTGCGCCCTCTCACAATCCAGGTTGAGGGAAATCCCCTCCCCAGTACACAAATTTCATGCAATAATAATAAAAAACTCAGCAGCCTTGTCCTCCCAATATTCCAGAGCACCATGCTCACCTGAATTGGGGTCCGTTGGAATATCTCTCTCTGCCAAGTCCTGCTGATCCCACACACACGGGTTCTCCTCCTGTTTGATCCGGGACAGGAGGTCCTGGGCAGAGGCTGGCGAGTCTGCAAGTGGGAACAGACCAGCAAAGGTGTCAGGGGACACAAAAATGCCCACAAGTCTTTGCTTTGAGTAAATCTCTTACTACATGCAGTTGTGTCTTTTTCCTACAAATTGGGTGTAACTAACCTATGCTAATTAATTAGAGGTTTAAGTCAGCTTGGCCTCAAATACTGGAGCTTTTGCTGCAAATAAGTGGATACTATTGGGGAATGATGTAACAGTGACTTCAAGAGAAAGTCCTTCTGTGCTTGGGAACTTAACTCCTTAGAGGAGATTCATGCTCAGGTACTGAGTACTATGTACTGAGTACTGAGCACCACCATAGAAGCAGCTATTCCTCATGTGGGGATTTTCCAGGAAAATCATACCTTCTCGGAAGCCTTTTATCTCAACCATTTTAGTGGGCTATTTCTAAGATGTATTCTACATCTCCTTTCTTCTTCAGAGGCCATCACACCTCATTTACCCTTCACTGCCCTCTCATCTCTGAAAGATCTCTCTGAAGATAGCAATGCTGCAGTGCCATGGAGGACTGCATGACAAGGGCTTTCCTCCACTCAGCCTCTGTCGTCACTTGCTTATGGATGTGAGGCTCTGACGAAGGGGATGAGGTTTGTGAGCTCCAATCTGTGGATCAGGAGAGCTGCCGTATGCTAACATATCGGGTGATGTCTCATTTTATGTCTCCTGGCCTTTCACACCACATTCTGTTGCTTGGCCTAAGCCCTGAATGTTTCTTACTTCTCTGCTCCCAGGACCTTCTGGGAACAGGGAAGTAATAAACAATGTCCAGATATTTGGCCAAACATTCTAGAGGTTGCTGTGAAGGTATTTTTTAAAGATGAGATTAACACTGAACTCAGTAGACTTTGAGTAAAGCAGATTACCCTCCATAATGTGGGTGGGCCTCATCCAATCAGTTGAAGGCCTTAAAGAAAATGCTGGCCTCCCCCGGGGAAGAGGAACTTTGGCCAGCAGACCAGGTCTCCAGCCTGATAGCCTACCCTGCAGATTCTGGATGCGCTAGACTCTACAGTCACAGAAGCCATGCCTTCAAATCAATCAATCAATCAATCAATCAATCTGCTCTCTTTCTCTCTACACCCACACATCCACACACACCCACCCACACCCACACCCCCACCCCCACCCATACACCCCCCCCACAAACA